TCAGGAAGTCTTCTCGTATAGTATATCTTAAAATAATTTATAAATTATATGAAAAATATTTTTTTGGGTGAAAAATTGAAATCATGTAATTATAAAAATTTGTAAATGATATAAATTAAGATACAGTAAAACTGAATTATTTTTAACATCGATGAGTGAATGTAGTGAGTCATAGCATTATTTGGTTTAGGGTTTGGTAACATATGTTGTAGTATTGTATCTTAAGATTAGATTTTGTAAGCTTAACATTTTATTTGAAAAAAAAAAAAAAATTTGACATTTATGTCTTTAGTTCTAAATTGAATTTAAGTTTAATGAAGTGTTTAGTTATTTAATTAAATTTAGGGTTTATAATTAGGGTCTAGACAACCTCAAACAAGTCTTCTGATGAATAGTATTTACGGGCTAGACAATTTTCATGAAGTCTTTTGATGAATAGTATTTCCGTGAAAGTTTTCTGAATCGAAAATACTTGATCTAAATATAAATTTTTGTCTCCATATATAAAGAAAAATTTATGTATTCTTTCTCTTCCTCTCAAATGACTGCAACAAAAATGTAATGTTTTCACTCTAAAACTCTCTAACATCTTTCTAATCTCTTTGAAATTTGAAAACACTAAATTTATATCAATTTCTTTCTTTTCTTTTTTGTCTCATGTCGTGCTCATTAATTTAGCTTGTTTTTGCAAGTTTTTAATCACATAAAGGTAGATCTATAAATTTTAGATATGTATTTTTATGTGTTCTATCAAGGTAGATTATATTTTTATATTTTTACATAGTCTTCTTCCATATCTCATCTTTCATAACAGATCTGAACATTTTGGTAAGTTTTCATGTATGTTTTTTCTTCATTTAGTAACCTATTGTTGTATAAAGCTCTTACATTTTTTCTCCAATTAAAATTCTCCAATCTCTATATAATCTCTTTAAACATTAAAACACCAAACTTTATATCAATTTCTCATTTTTAATGTCTTTCTTACTAATTTATCTTATTTTGCAGGTTTTTATCACATGGTTCTCATCATCTACTCCTTTAAAGGTTGATCTAAATTTTTTGAATATGTATTTTTGTGTGTTCTTTACGTAGATCTATCTCATCTTTCCACTTCTTTTCTCTTGTTGACGTCATTTGAAAAGTTTTCGATTTGTGAGTTTTTCAGATCTGAGTCAAACTTTGAAAGACTTATGAAAAGTTTTTTTAAAAGTCTTCTGCAAATATTTTCTCATATCAAGCGAAGTCCAAGCTTATCTTTGTGGAGGAATGATCTAAAATATTTTTATTTCTGGTATGTTTTGTGATTTGTATGTATACTCTTTATTTGTGATTTTTTTGTAAATTTGAAGAAATATTAATGAAAAATATGTTAAATATGTTTATTGTCCAGAATATTATCTTGCCAAATTTATTTGACATTATTGAAGTCATTGATACAACTTGGAAACACACAATAACACAAAATAGTCAAAGTTATTACAATTAAGGAAGAAGACTTCTTAAGAAAACTTAGTCAAATTCAAAAAATATTAAACATTACATAAGTGCAAAGATAGAACACTTTCAATAGAAGTCTTCTGGGAAGTCTTATGGATGATTCTGGGAAGTCTTCCTTTGTAAATATTAACTTATTTTTGTTAACAAACAAATCTCGAAATTACTAAAGAAGACTTCTCAGTAAGTCGTCTAGAGTAAACATGTTAGTTTTGCCTTTGATCGGATTGTGTCAGAAATTTGATTTTTCACAGATGACTTACAAGAAAGTCGTCCAGCAAAAATAAAAATTCAATTTTTAATTTTAGTTAGATGACTTCCATGTAATTCATTTCACGTTACTTTTTTTAACTGAAAAATAAAACTTAAATATTTAATTTTATTTGGACGACTTACACGGAAGTCTTCTGGTAGACGACTTACATGGTAGTCTTCTGAAATAACCAAGGTTTGACCAGAATCTCGGAATAAAATCCTGAACGGCTTCTGTGTAAGTCGTCCTTAGGAATACTTATGTATAATTCGTCTGGCTAATATTAAATATTTGATTTTATTTTTCAGATGTAAAACTAACCTGAAACGCTTTACATGGAAGTCGTATAATTATAATTAAATATTGAAGTTTTATTTTTCTATTGGACTACTTACTAGTAAGTCGTCCAGGAAAAGTTAAATTTATGACACAATCCGATCAAATATAAAACTAATATGTTTATGCTAGACAATTTACCGTTTCGAGATTTTTTTTGTTAACAAAGAAAAGTGGAAGACTTCCATAGAAGTCTTGACCAGAAGACGTCTGTGTAAGTCTCTACTACTAGAAGACTTACGCGTAAGTCTTCTGACTGTATGATCTAGAAAACAATATTGATTTCATAGCTTCAACCGGTGAGATAACTTATTTAGCACATATAAGTCTTCTTTAAGCATACATAAGTTTAAAGAAAGTGACCCACCAAGAATCGTAAGGTTAAATGACTTTATGCACCATGAAAAAAATAGAATAAAAATCTTAGGCATGTTGGATAAATATAGAGAGAAACTGAAAGAGATGTTGTTTTTAGTTCATAAGAAATGAGATAGAAAAAGTGTAAATTGATTTTAGGTGCATTTAGAGCTTCAAAATTGGTTGTTCATGGTGGTTGGTGTGGCAATAACAATATTGTAAATGAAGAAGATGAGGATGAGAGAGTAAAATACTAATTTTCTTAAAAAAGGTAACGACATTTTCGTGAACCAAACTTGTGAGGTGAATAAGACAAATGAAAATTCTAAAAAAAACATTGATTAGTTTTATGTTTGACTTTGAGTTTTGAGTCATATTTGCAAATAGCTCTTTAAAATATACTAAAATTAATATGAGACATGTTATATAAATGAATTATTTTATTTTAGTACAATTATGTCTAGATAAATATTAATTTAATTATATATACTTTTATTTTTTTATAAAAATACAAATATATTATATTTATATATATACACTATTTTAATAGAATAGTTAATTATTATTTTTATTGTTTTATTACATTTATAATATCTGTACATGTATATATCTATGATGTTTTAATAGTATAGATATTTGTTATTATAATACATATATAATACATATTTTTTAATAGTATAGATATTTTTTTTTAATAATTGTATGTATGCATATCTATACTGTTTTAATAATATATATTTTTATTGTTTATTACATATATAATACATATATTGTTTTAATGGTATAGATATTTCTTGTTTTTATTATTTACTTTTGTAATACATATAAAATGTTAAAATATATTTTATTTAGATTTTAATTTAATTATATATACTTAAACAACAATTATTATTTATAAATATATATATATATATATATATATTATATTTTCTGTAAATAATTTTGTTGATATGTGCTTTGAAACATGGATTAAAATCTAACTCAATATTAAAATATATCATTTATAATAATTACATTATTAAAAGCTTATAATTTTTACAGAATATATATGTATCATTTATCATAAGCTCTACCGATCAAAGTCTTCGAACAATAATATTCGGGATTATTTTAATATTCCTTTTATTTTAAAATAATATATGTTATAAAATTTTCACACTTATTCAGAAAACATATTAAAATTTAGTTATTAATGCATAACTTATATTTTTGAATTTTTAAACCAATAAAATTTTATAAAAATGTAATTAATGTTTTTAAAGAGCAAATATGCTCAATATACGAAAAGAAATTCAATATTAGGAATTTGCCATAGTTTTAGTGGAAAAAATAATGAGAGGAAAGAGGAGAGATAAGAGAGAAAGATGGTAAATAGTTAATTTAGGGGTTTAGTTGTATATGAAGTGCAAATTCTCTTTTTGAAATTCACAATTTTTCATTACTAATTGGAAAAAATGTATTGAAAATTTTAGAAATAATTTTTTAAAATAAAAGTTTAATATGCATCTTTTTGAAACAGAGTAAGTTTTCACAAATGAAGATTACTTAAGCACAAAATTATGTGGAATTATTTATGGTGGTGGCTTGGCTCATTGAGATATGACTTCGGATCATCGTATCTTTTATATTTTGTTTATTTTTCTTTTAAATATTAATTTCCAGATTAACTCCTTTAAAAGGTTGTATGCAGCCGACATTTCCGTGATAAAAAGTTAAATACTTTTATTTGCATTTATAAATTTATGTCGTTGACGAAAGAAATAAGAAAAACTATTGATAGGGAGACTTTCGTAATTTCCTGCGTATCAGTTTTGTTTTACTTTTTCACCGTTATTTGATATAAAACCATTGCCGATTTTTTTTTTAATAAGAAGTTATAAAACCACTTCAATTATGAAAATAAGTTATAAAATAATAATCAAGATTAGTTTAATTTATACAAAAAATAATAAGGAAGATTGGTGGGTTAAAAAGGGGGGAGAGGAAGAAAGAACAACGACCTCAACTTCTCATCTCTCTTTTCCTATTTTTCTTTGGGAGAGATTTTTATAAGTTTACTTTAATCGATGAAATGGTTTGCAGAATTTGCTGAATAAACTCTCACTACCAAAGAAAAAAAAAGAGCTCAAGAAAGAGAAAGCTGGAGAGAGAGATAGCAGATAGAAAACGATAGCTAAAGCTCAATCTTCTCTTTCTTTAATTCTCTGCAACTCCAAGGTATTATCTCTCTCTAGTCTCTACCATATATATATATATATGTATATGATGACCAAAGCTGAAAGTGAAAACCTCAAAAGAGATACAAGAAAGAGATGGAGAAGAAAAACAAAACTGTATAATACCTAGTTGACTCCTATCTCTCTCTCTTTCTTTCTCTTTCTTTTCCTAAATTTTTTTGTTATATAAGATTCTCTGTGTATGTGTCTGAATCCTTACAGGATCCAAGAGCTTTGGAAAGAGATATTATTATGAACAACAAGAAGCAATAAATGGTATATGGGTCTGGTTACTTCAACTCTTCATCATCATAAGACTCCTTGACAACAATTCAGATTCTATGTCCCAAGATTATCATCATCACCAAGGAATCTTTTCCTTCTCTAATGGCTTCCACCGATCATCAACCTCTCATCAGGAGGAAGTTGAGGAATCTGCTGTCTCCGGTGCTCCGATTCAGGTATATGAAACAGCCGGAATGTTGTCTGAAATGTTTAGTTTCCCCGGCGGTGGCAACGGTGGCTCAGGCGAGATTCTTGATCAATCTACTAAACAGTTGCTAGAGCAACAAAACCGTCAGAACAACAACAACAACTCGACTCTTCATATGTTACTACCAAATCATCATCAAGGTTATGGTTATGCCAACGAGCAACAACAACATCACTTCACATGGCCATCTTCCTCCGATCATCAGAGTCAAGGAGATATGATCGGGACCGTACACGTGGAAGGTGGGAAAGGTTTATCTTTGTCTCTCTCATCCTCACTAGCAGCAGCCAAAGCAGAAGAATATAGAAGCATTTATTGTGCAGCCGTTAATGGAACTTCTTCTTCTTCTAACGCTTCGGCTCATCATCATAATCAGTTCAATCAGTTGAAGACTCTCCTTGATAATTCTACTTCTCATCATCAAGTTGTGGGACATTTCGGGTCATCATCTTCTCCCATGGGGGCATCTTCCTCTATTGGAGGAATCTATACGTTGAGGAATTCAAAGTACACGAAGCCGGCACAAGAACTGTTGGAGGAGTTTTGTAGTGTTGGGAGAGGAAATTTCAAGAAAAACAAACTTACTAGGAACAATTCAAACCCTAATACTAGCGGTGGAGGAGGGTCGTCTTCGTCCCCCGGGGTAGCCAATGATAATCCTCCTTTGCCTCCGGCTGATCGGATTGAACATCAAAAAAGAAAAGTTAAGCTACTCGCTATGCTTGAAGAGGTAACGTTTTCACACTATAGTCTTCTCTAACCAATGAACTAATTTCTCATTAAACTTCTGATTAAATTAAATGAATCGTTCTATAATATGGTTGAATTGATCAATCATCCAATTTCATATCAGAAAATATGATTTTTCTTCCTGGTCTTTTTCTCTCATATTATTTTTAAAACAGCCAATTTTTCATAAACTCTAGATATGTATTTTAAATAGAAATTTAATATATGGAGAAATATCGACTGGTACAAGAACACGACACATGCTCTAGTTGGTAGAGCTTGATTACGCAATCCTACCATCACTTTTATAAAAATTTCTAACTAATATCATTATACTCGTGTTATAGTCTAATGTGACATATATTATTGCATATTTTGTGGTACGAGTTTGGTGGCATCGCTTAATCAGATTAACATAAGAAATTAAGTTAGGATTAATTAAGTGATTTAGTCTTCTACCAGATCACTAAAATTAGAGGTTCCTTCTCCATATAAGTTACCTTCACTACGTAACCAAAACTAGTCCTTGAAGTTACTTCATTATTTATCTTTAAAATATTTTGTAGTTGACATTATCTAATTTGAACAATTAAATGCAATAATTGCCTATATTGGAATAATGAAAGACATATTTTGAAGAAAAAAATTTTGCTCGACTTATTATCTTATCTAAACGTTACTACCTCTTGCAGTTTGTATTTTATCTGATCAAATTAGCCAATAGTAACATAACTTAAATAATCAGTTTATATCCTTTTTATTTAAATTGAATTTTCAGGTAGACCGACGGTACAACCACTACTGCGAACAAATGCAAATGGTAGTGAACTCATTCGACCAAGTAATGGGTTATGGCGCAGCCGTTCCATACACCACATTAGCACAAAAGGCAATGTCTAGACACTTCCGATGTTTGAAAGACGCGGTTGCGGTTCAGCTAAAACGCAGCTGCGAGCTTCTAGGTGACAAAGAGACGGCGGGGGCTGCGTCCTCGGGGTTAACCAAAGGCGAAACGCCACGATTGCGTTTGCTAGAGCAGAGTTTGCGTCAGCAACGAGCGTTTCATCATATGGGTATGATGGAGCAAGAGGCATGGAGACCACAACGTGGGTTACCTGAACGTTCTGTTAATATTCTTAGAGCTTGGCTTTTCGAGCATTTTCTTAATCCGTAAGTCTATCTTATCATCTCTTATCCAAAATATTACTTATCTACTCCCGTTCTTTGGTACAAATAGTATACTCTTCCTCAGTGTTGACCATACGTTATGAAAACTGGCCTACCAATACTAGCACACACCATATATTTTACAAAATTATGTTTATAAACTGACAAATTGTTTTTCTTCCAACTTAGTTTGGTTTTGCGGGAAAAACTATTTCAATTAATATTTTTGGAAAGAAGCTGTTTTTTTTTTCAGTCACTAAAATAAAAATGTAATGCCTTAAGAACGTTTATGAATTTCTGTATGAAATTTTTTATTACTCCAATTTAATTCAAATATAATATTTTTTTTAATTATTTTTTGAAGCCAACAAGGGTAACGACTAGCGATGCATTGGCCTCGAGATTTTTAAGAAAATGGGGTCTGTTTTTGTCTTAGTGTATATATGTATAAATTATATGTAAGTTGTTTTGCATGGTAAAGGGATTAAATAACGAATAGTATAGTAAAAGAAGTTTACAGAATGAGATCACAAACTTTTATGCTTTGGGATCATAATAATAACATCCTACGGGTTTCTTTATAGTTTCCTCTTTACTTGGATTTTATTCTTTTATTATTTAAAGACGTAACAATGCTAGTTGAATAATTACAAAATAGGTCTAGATTTGTCAGTGGTGCAGTGTCATTGGTATATTGTCTCTTAAGAAAGACAAAAACTAAAAGAGAAAAAAAAAACTAAAAGCTGATAAAAGCAATTCCTTTCGTATTATTCATCAGAGTTTTCTTTATTTAATGTCTTCCGAATTTTACTATTTTGTTGTTAGTGAAGTAAAGAAGAGACGAGTTGTACAGTTTTTTTTTCTTGTGCCTCACAGTGAAAATATGTGCTTTATCATGAAAAATATATAAGTGAAGAAACAATACAATCAAATGCTTCTTCTATTCTGCATCAGCTTTTTCTTTTGTCTCTTAGATTCTCACGCCCCTGTAAGAAGAAAGTTTGTACATTTTCTTGCATCTATACTTGATTGTGTTTTTTCCTCTCTTTCTGTTTATATACAAATTTATATAGATTATAATAATAGTTATTGGGTTTAGGGTTCTAAAGATTGTGAAGTCATTTTCTGGTCTCTTTCCCAGGTACCCAAGCGATGCTGATAAGCACCTCTTGGCTCGTCAGACTGGTTTATCCAGAAATCAGGTCAGCCTTAATAATAACATAATATTACTGCTCATACAAGAACCCTTTTAATCACTCGTATCTGTATTTAATTTAATATTTTACTATATATATATATATATATATATATATATATATATATATATATATATATATATCAATCATTTCTTCATGCAAAACCTGATATGAGTGGCTTCATGTCTATTCTCTTGCATGGATTTTGAATTTTTTTTAAAGGGCCTGCATGGATTTTGAATATGAAATCATTTTTTCGTGGGACTTGTTACTTCGTTAAATACATTATATTTATATATATATATATCCATAATTACACACCATAGTATATGAAATATAGGACATAAAGTTGGAAGAGAGATAGAGAGAGGGAGACAGGCAGACAAAAAGACATGAATTCTCAAACTAGGACCATATTTCTAATGTGCATGAAAGTTTGAAGCTTTAATTTTAATTGTAACGACCAGCCTCAAATTCTTGTACACCTAAATTAGCTAGTCCACAAATACTTCATAATACCCTCTCTATTTCACCAAAAACATATCATTGTTAAAAGTCAATACAAATGAAAGAGTATTTTAAATGTATAAATTTAATATGCTTATATATTCAATATACTATAGTTAAATAATGATAAAATTAAAACTTTGATTTGAAAAAACCACATTAAATTTTGAAAAGATATTTTTCCTTTTGAAACTGAAATTAATTCTAGGACGTCATTTTAAAAACGGAGTAGGAAGTATAATTTGCTCATATATCACTGATATCCGTATAGTTTAAACAAAAAAAAAACTTATTAATATCATAATATTTAATTAACACTTGGTGAAACAATTTTCATTAAAATTCGCATTTTCTTGGTTTTCAGGTGTCGAATTGGTTTATAAATGCTAGGGTTCGCCTATGGAAACCAATGGTTGAAGAAATGTATCAACAAGAAGCAAAAGAAAGAGAAGAAGAAGAATTAGAAGAAAATCAAAAAGAAGATTATCAACAAACAAACAACAGCAGCAGCAACAATGACACGAAGCCCAATGAAAGCAACTTCACTCTGGTTCAGACAATAACTGCACAAACTCCAACAATGACGATGATGACGCCGACACCTCACGAAAACGACTCTTCGTTCCTCCCCTCCGTCGTAACCGCCGCTCGTCACAGCGTTTCAGACGCTTTCACCACTGTCACGTGTCAGCAAGACGTCAGTAATCACTTCCAGGTTAACGATGGTGTCATAAGATTCGGAACCAAACAGGCTGGTGACGTGTCACTCACGCTTGGTCTACGCCACACTGGCAATATGCCTGATAATAAGAACCCTTCTTTCTCCGTTAGAGACTTTGGAGATTTCTAGACTGCCTTCGTCGTTTCTCTGTTGATTAATCAACATATAATAGTGTTTTTTTTTTTTGCTTTTCTTTTTTGTCGGAATATGTATTTGGTCTCATCACATACTCTTAAAAGTTTATTTTTACTAGATTCTTTATCCGCGCTACGCGCGGATTATGTATTTAAATATTTTATTTATTTAAAAATGTTTTTAGTAATTAAGCACGGATTATATATTTAAATATTTTATTTATTTAAAAATGTTTTTGTACTATTATGTGCATTGAATTTTTTAAGTTTATATTTAATTTAATAAACTATATGTAATTTTATTAAATTTATTAATTTTTTATTGAAAAAATCCATGAAAATACATCAATTAAATATCAGTAAACTTTTTAATACCTAAACTTTTTTATTATCCAATTTCATATCTAAATTAATTATTTATTCATTTTAATACACAATTTTAAAAGTGTACTCATTTTAATACCCAAATTATTTATAAGTTTGAATGAAAATTTAAAAATCTTCAAAATTGATCACAATAAATTTTAGAGTTTCTATTTTTATTTTAAGTTATAGGAAAAAAGTATCTAAACCATGGATAATATTTAAAACTATATTAAGAATTTTTTTTATAAATTTTTGTTTTCAAAATTTCGTTTTTTAAATTTTATTTATTTCAAATTTTCATTTTTGGTTTTTTTTTTCAAATTTTCATTTTTAAATTCAAAATCTTTAAAAATATTTTTTAATTTTTTCAAAAGGTACGTATTTTTTAATTTTAATATATATATATATATATATATATATATATATATATATATATATTAAAATCCTATACCTCTTCTTTCAAAACAGTATCCCTTAAATCTAAACTCTAAACTCAGATTAGTGAATTCTATGATTATAAGTATCTATTTAATTTTTAAAAATTGAGGGTAAATGTAACTAAGGTAAATATAAACATTTCTAGTCAGAATGTGGTAGTTTAGACAACTGGGACCAAAACATAAAAATAATAATAAAAGTTATGAAAAATGCATACATTTAGATAACATTTAGGTCCATAACTATTTTACAACAATTTTATCAACGTATATTACTATTCTTTTAGTAATTATAATGACACATCAATATAATGTCAATATAATCCCACAATTATATATGTTTCTTTTAATTTTCACGCGTTTTAATAAAACAATATTATTTTTATCCTATTTAAGATGTACATTACATATTAATCTCAGATCTTAAAATTTATAAGAGACAATGAATAACCATTCATGATGCCTCATATGTTTTAGCATGAATTTGTTAAAAGCTTGTTTATAAATTAAAGTTGGTTTGCAAATTTTTATAAATACAAATCTTGAGTTAAGTATTTTTCTATTCAACTTGAGTGTTTTTTTCTCAAATTGGAGGTTTGTAGCCTTAAAGAAGTATTTGACCATATATATAGGTCGGTTATGTTCTGTATCTTAGTGTATATAACTTTATGTATATCTAAGTGTTGTCACGGTAGCAAATCTGAATAAGAAGACTCTCCTTTACAACTGCTAAGCGTTTTGATAGATTTAGAGAGCTCAATTTTTTTTTCGAAGAATAGAAAAAAGACAGCAAAATTTTTAAGACTGATTAAAAAAAAAGAAGACTGAATATTGGATTAATTATAAAACTGTTGTTAACATTAAGTATTTACGTTACCAGATTAGAGACATGTCGCCGCATCACACATCACATCCGCTCTAGTCAAGACGATTTCACGGTCCTGCTAAATCTGACTGAAACACCTAATATCACACTTTGAGTCATTGATCGTTTCAATTTTACCCACTTCTTCTTCTATGTCTCCCCTTCTCGCGATTCATTACCACTATTAATAAAACCTCCTCTTTATTCCCATCTTTAATGTTTTTCGTTTCACCTTCCTCCTTATCTTTTCGTTATAACCTTCTTCACTATTTCTTGATTCCAATCAAAATCGAAAGAGTCTTCTCAAAAAGTCGAATCCGTTGGCAAATCATCACCAATCAAATATACCGGCAAAAAGTCTTAGGTCGTATCTCTTAACCATACAATAGCGTTTGTTGAAAATTTAATTTCCAAAAACAATATAAAATAAAAAATCACAAATTAAATTCAAAAATAATAATAAACTACAAAGTTTGAATTCTCTGAAGCAAACGAACGCGTTGTTAAGCGACATGGTTCTCTGAAGCAAACAAACACGTTCGAGATCTAAAGGACAGCATTTCTCTTGCTCCTCAATACCATGGTTAACATACTGTCAATTTATATAAGCCGACCACTCTCGTCCACCATTTCAAAGCAATGAGAGTAATACTGCTATCTCTCTCTCTCACTTCTTTAACCTTTTCTCTTCTCATGGTAAGTACTTCTTTAACCTTTTCTCTTCTCATGGTAAGTGTGATGGATGGTGTTTGAGAGCTCGGGTCACCATCTTCATTCTTCTTTCTAGTGTTATTCTTCTTATTCTTTTCTCCATCTGCGTGACTACAAATCTGCATCCATTCGCAAAATACTAAAATGATAATAGTTTTAAATATTTGTTTAATATGGAAACAAACATATACTTTATCTTCTCATTTTAAAACTCTGCTACTGTTCTTTTGAATTCAGTACAAAATTGTTAGGATATTAAAGCAAGTCTATGAGAAGAGCATAAGGAATACCATATACTGAATCTTTTTTACATTCATCTGCATAATCTCGTTATAGAAACTTGAGATTCAAGTATCCTCATCTTCACCATCTGCATAATCTGGAATAGTCAGTGCACATCACAATAGAAGAGTCATCAACTGAAAACGGAAAAGCAAGAGAGGCATGCTATCAGATTTACAACTCTGTAAAAAGAATTGGTATAGGGTTTGAAACTTGTTGAGAAGCAGCTTACAATAAGAGCAGATATGCGGAAGAATGCAGCAAGATTGGTATCAGGAGCTGTATAATCATCATACTCCGACCCTAAAATCAGACGTTCAGCTTCTGCTATTGCCATGATGTGTGGATGGTCTAAATTCAAACCTGAGATTGACCATCCTCCACTACGAAACAGAGATTCTCAAGTCAGATATGATAGTGTGTCACAAACCTTCTGATTAAAGTTGAATTCTGGTTAATTAAGGCCTCAAGAAAAACAGTTGTAACTACTTGTAATCTAAATGTATATACAGTGTCATTATACAAAAAAAGCGTGGAGGATGATAGAAATGAATGATCCTGGAACTACTCACTATTGCCACTGATCATCAGGTCTCACTCTACTCAAGATAAAAAAAACAGAAAGAAAAAAAACTGATGACAAATCTCACATAAAGTGTTTCCCTTTTCATTGCACCAACGTTGAACACATTTTCTGTGTACAAAAGAAAGCTTCCAATGGTTTTGCCATACACTCTGAAATGTAAAGTCAAACCAAAAATAGTATATATCATCACACGGCTTTTAATTGAAGAAGATGACCTTGTTAATTTCTTGCCGAACCTTATCAGTGATCTCAGTCTTCCGGGGTTTCATCATTTGGCCCATCAAAGAAAGTGTATCTTGCCCACCTTGAGGTCGTGCATTTGATGCATCCAGATCTTGAAGCGTGATATCCTAAACCAAATTTAAGAAAACTTTAAGAGGCTACCACAAAAGAACCAATATACAACGTAAGACTAAAACACATTTGCATTAAAAATGAAGGGAGAGTATTGAGATAAACCTGCACTATCTCTTTCTTTTTGTGAACCTCTCCTTTAGGAAGAGGAACATATTCTTCTGCTTCCAGCTCCACTGTTTGCTTCAATGTATATAACATCTTCTACAGCTACCTGAGAGCCAAACCGTAAAATATAAGAAGAGCTTCCGGTATAGGAATCCCGCTGCTAGTGGTATAGGAATCCCGGTTGGCTAGAAACCTAAACACTATCCTTGGAGTCTCTTAACTCTTGAGCATAGCAAAGAGAGCAATGAACTTTAAACCCCTAACACCCGGACGAGCATCGAGCAAATTACCAACTGCAATCTAGTATATTTACAGAGATATATACAGTGGAGGAGAAGAAGAACCTCGAGGCCAAGACAATTGATGTGAATGTGAGTAGCAATCCGCTGTTTCTTCGCGGTGGACTGAATCTCTTCGATCTTTACTTTCTCCATCTCCATCAGCTGTTAACTTCGTCCTTCTGAGTCACGACTGAGATCTTCGATGACGATGGCGGCAGCGGGAGAGTTCGAGCTTTCTCTACTTTTCGATGCTTCGTAAAGAGAGGAGACAAAGAGTTTGGAAGAAGACGAATCAAGAAGATGAGAGGTGAAGAGAGGAGAAACCAACTTGACCTAATTCCGTTTCGGTTTGGGGCTCAGTATGGACTCAATACAAAATATTTTGAAGCCCAAAAGAAGAAAAGCCCACCCGGAAGACCAGCTCGGTCTGACGTGGCAAAATGAAATAACCCCATTGGTTGAATAAAAAATCCGACGTGGACACCCCCATATGCTCTAAATAAGCCCTTTTAATTATAGTAGATGTATTCCCTCTCTCGTAAGAAGAAGAGAAGTACACATAAATTGATATACCTACCTACAAAAGTTGTTTAATTTTTTAGAATGTAACTATCTAATATTTTGTTTTTTTTTTCCAAATTAGGTCCTTAATAAATTTGTATTTATGTTGAACTTATTTTCATTTTTATCTAATGTTTTATTCATACTAGTTGCATACTCTCCGCGCAAGCACGGAGCCGGAATCATTATGTTTGCATGTATTTTTTTCGATTGTTGATTTAGTGGATTCTTCTAATGATACCAAATAATACTGAAATGGAAAGAATGTAGTAAGAGTGTAAAGTGAAAATATTGTATATCTAATGTGTTAAATGTTATTTATATGCGAAGTAAGGTTTATAAGAATAGTTAGGCTATGATATAGTTTTTAGTGTGTAAAAGTAGGTGTCTATTTTTTTTTTTACTGTAAATAGTTTTTATATCGTATGTTAAAACTTGATATAACTCTATATTTATAGTATTTATATTTGTATTAAACGATTTATCAATTTGAAAATAACCTTAATTAAGTTAATTTTTGTTGTTTAAGTTTCATTAGATAGGTTTTTATATATGGTTTTTTGTAAGTTTGAGTTTTGTTCATAAATGATGTGGCATTTTTATCTATGGAGTCGTCGACTGTGGGAATCCATTCGCCGAAGTCTGGAGTCAGTGGTGAGAAATGTTTTCAATGAAATTATAGTAGTTATTAAAATGTAAGAGAAATTACATATTCATTTAATAAATAAGGAAAAATACTTAAATTTTGTTGTTTATTTTATTTTATTTCACATACAAATTTTTTGAAAATATATTAGGAATGTGTTAAATGTTATTTATATGCGAAGTAAGGTTTATAGAAATAGTTAGGCTATAATATAGTGTTTAGTGTGTAAAAAGTAGGTGTTTTTTTTCCTGTAAATAGTTTTTATATCGTAGATCAAAACTTGATATAATTCTATATTTATAGTATTTATATTTGTATTAAACGATTTATCAATTTTAAAATAACCTTAATTAAATTAATATTCATTGTTTAAGTTTCATTAAATAGGTTTTTAAATAGGTTTTTATATATGGTTTTTTGTAAGTTTGAGTTTTGTTCATAAATGATGTGACATTTTTATCTACGGCGTCATCGACTGTGGGAATTCATTCGCCGGAGTCTGGAATCGGTGGTGAGGAATGTTTTCAATGAAATTTTAGTAGTTATTAAAATGTAAGAGAAATTACATATTCATTTAATAAATAACGAAAATAATTAATTTTTGTTGTTTTTTTTATCACATACAAATTTTTTGAAAATATATATTAGGAAATATGTGCAATGATTTAACTTTTTGAGCTCTTAATCTATATTATTCAAGCCTCATTAAGCCATCCAATAGGCAGCCGCGTGGAATTCATTTTTTTTTTTGTCTGTTCATTTTTGGATTTATTTTTTATTATTTTTGAGTTGAGCTATATTATAATAGGATAGTTTTAAGGTTCTTTAAGCCATCTGCGTAGCTAACCGCATGAGACTTACTTTTTTTTTATTGTTCGTTTTGGATTTATTTTTAACTATTTTGGGTTTGAACATGTTAAGATTTAGGGTTTATCCAACTATTTTGATCTTTACAACAATAAGCCCAAAAAAAAATAAAAACTTTATAAACAAAAAGCCCATATGAAATAACCCAAATAAAAAAATCAAAAATACATGCTATCTACATGGTTTGAACCCACAATCTTGCATACTTAATTAAACACCTTATACCACTTGGATAAAGTGTATTTCATTGTTTATGATCATCTTACAAAGACTATGAGTGTTTAAAAAATACTTATGGAACCCACAAAATTGCTGACGTGGCGCGCTGTGGAGGTTCAAAAGTGTACTATTATAATATAGATTGATATCCCTACCAAATTGTTTTCGTGGTCAGTTTTGTGTTGTGATTTTTCTATTTCGACAGCAATTTTATGTTGTGATTATCTACATATTTTCAAATAAATCTTGATTCAAATTGATATCCTAACTTAGTTTCTCTAACTTTGTAGATGATGAAGTACATATTTTACATTATGGTTTTGTTCAGATTCAAATTGATATCCCTACCAACCATTTTGTTTAGATTAATTTGGCTTATGTTTACTTACAGAATTCTTCCACTTGACAGAACCTTTTTCAATTATCTCTTCCATTTTATTTCGACATCAATTTGCTTGTATAATGAAATTAATCACCTCCCTTTTTTTTGAGAAAAAAACCTTGCTAATCCCTACTTACTACCTATGTGTTCTTAGTAATGGCAACGAAGTACGTTTGGGACAATAGATCGTCTTATAATAACACTTGTATATTTTTTTTCAGTTAAATCCAAATTCATCTTTGTTATGTGCTTTTTCCTTCTCAACAACATAATTTACCTAAGATTCCAAAGTTTGGTTACATGTCATATAGGCATATCTCACTCGAGACGCTGACATTTTAATTCCACAAAAAGGCAGTAAGCTCATTGGCATGGGGCTACTCATTACTTTGTTTATAATAGGGACTCATTACTTGATTTGTTCAGTTTCCTTAAAAGCCACTTCAGTAATTTTGTCTAGGCATGAACATATACATTTCACCTAAATCCATATATATTTGCATGAATTTATATACTCATATACATCATGACATTTATGGATAATAGATTATTTACCGTCTCCCTATTTACAGCCTAATCAGTTCCGTTATTACGATCTACGCGCGCATGACATTTAAGATGGTACTTAAGATGTCGAATTACGATCTACGCGCGCATGCATTAATTGGTTGATGACAGATTATAGTTGATTGCGAGTACCCTTAATTTTGAAAACTAGTTTTTGGTCTGCAATGTTTGTTTTTCATAATCATATATTTTTAATTTTGAAAAAGTGATAAATTTAATTGTTTATGTTATTTATTTTATAGATTTATGTGTTATTTAGATTGAATTGATGTGTACTGTTCAATGTGATTAGTCTTCACTCTGTATTTTTTTATTGTACTTTTATTTAGTTTATTTGGTAAAATAAACACTAAAATGTGAGACATTTTTTATATAAAATTCAAATTTCTTTTTGAGAATTTTTTTTTGAGAATTTTTTTTTTTAAAATATATTATTTAGAGAAACAAAAATAATAATGAAACCAAATTAAAAAAAACATTAGAAAAGAGAAAAGATTTAATTAAAGTTAATAGTTTAGATTATTTGGTTATAAACTTATAATTAAAACAGGTCACAATTTAGTTACTATGTTTAAATCTTATTTTCATCACAATATGTATGGATTAGGCTTTAGTTTTGTTTTAATTGACCAAACCTATATATAGATTAAAATCAATGGCATGAAAATGTAACTTTTAATAAAAAAATAAAGGTTATTTCCTATTTGTACTCTAATTTTAATAGTTTAGATAGTTGATTTAATCATTATATATTACAGGATATTTTAATATTACAGAATATTAATGATCGATGTTTGCGTGCATAATCATTGTAAGAGTTTAGGTTATATGTATGTTTTTCCGTCTAAAACATATTTTATTCAATAAAACCTATCATATAATAATAGAGATATGATGGGATACATCGCAAGAAATAACCAAAAAACTCTTGAAAACACATCTAAACCATTAAAACATATGACTTCACAGTTCAAAAAAAAAAAACATATGACTTCAAGATAAATCAATGATGAAGTTTATGTACACTAAAATTAGGTTGAGTTTTGTCAATATATTACCACCAGAATGATCTTATTCCGTGCTTGTTAAAAAATTCAAATAAAAGATCTCTCATTTGGGGTCTAATTGGTGACCAAGGAATGAAAGGGAAAAATGCATTCCTTATCATTCCTAATTTGTTTTAGCATTTATAAGGATTAATTTTTCCTTTCTATTCATTTTCATTCCTTGTATTCTAGTGGAATATAGAACAAATTTATTCCTCACCAAAATTGTTAAGGAATAATTTTCCTTTTCATCCTTATAATTTTATTCCTCTACATTTTTCCGTATTCATTCCTAATATTTCTATGATGGTCACCAGTTAGACCTTTGGTTTAAATACGTTCCGGAAGAGACCGCTTCAGTAAAATTTAATGTACAACCCTTCAAACAACATGGAATAACTATTATAACAAAAATTGGAGTAAAAGAATATCTCTGATTACAAAAGGCAGAAAGAAAACCGAAATATTTCTGGAAATTTGAAAAGAATATTATAATAATCTTTAGTACTAAAAACCTATTAAAATAGAAACTTTAGCATCGTAAAAAGTCTCCCTTTTGCTCTGGGTTGACTGCTGGTTGTTATATGTATGTATGTTTGACATATAAGCTTTCGAATATATAATTTTTATTTGTGTTCAATCAAAAATAAAGTTTTCAAATACATGTAGAATGAAGATATAAGATAATAAATAGTGTTCTTTGATGAGGTCGTAATGTCTATGACTGTCCAGACTTACAGCCCATCTATTTCCTAGTAGTTTGATTGAGAAATAACTACATTCAAAGACAGTTTTGAGATTTTTATAACACAAAAAAATACTTTCTTCTACCAAATTTTATCTACTATTTTTTTTTTTCTAAATAAACTAA